GGATCAGACCTCTTCATCCTGAACTATAGGTGAAGAGTGGCTGATCTACCAGAGCAGCTCTACCTTAGATCTAGATCTACCAGAGCTAAAGGTTTGGGGTTTTCTTCAGTGTTTATCTTGTTATATATATATATATATTTTTTTTTTTTCTTTTTTTTTTTTTCTACAATACTTCCTGCTTCTAACTGAACCAGGAAGTAATGACACTGAGCCACAACATCAGTGAGCCGCTCTGAGCAGACGGGCTCTGGACAGAACTCTGGTTTTATTTTCATTTATTTCATACAAGAGTTTTTACCTTGTTTTATTATGTCGCTTGAATTGCATATAGCATCCTGAGCTATCGCTATAGTTATGCTGCTATAGGCTTAGACTGCTGGAGGACATAGGGACCCCCATTTCATCATTCTGCTTCATTCTATCTCTATTCTGGGCTGTGACTCCATCCTGGAGAGAAATATCAGCTGCTTCCATCAACACCTTTGTTTCTAGATGTTGGAGATCGTCCTGTTTTCCAGTGTAGTCCTGTTTCTGTGACTGTGACTAACTGGATGTGTTCTCTTCATCCTCTGACATGGGAGCTGGCTTGGAGCTCGTCTGCCTGGCTGTGTGTTTCCTTTATAGTTGCTTTTTGTATCTCCTCTTCTTTTCCTCTCCACTCAGTGTGGGGGATTGCTTTCGAATCAATGAGTTGTTGCAATCAACTGGTTTTCCTTAGAAAACTTTGAATCAATCTGACGATTGATGATGATTTGGTTGTGAATTGGCACTATAGAAATAATCTGAATTGAATTTATTATTTTCATCTATCCAAATTTATGAAGATATTGTTTCTGAGAACTAATTCAATTAAATGGACTGATTAACAATACATGTTTGCTGATTTCTTCATTATTTTTATTTAAATTTTAACATCTCATATTTTTTCTCAGATGATCTGTGTGGTTCTAAGCTATCCTACAGTAGAAGGTTCTGCATCCGATCAGAACATGATCCAGTTAACCTCATCTGATGAGGAGCAGTGCTTCAGTCAGAGCCAGGCGACCAAACCCAGCGGTTCTGCCTGTGAGGGTCATGTGACTCCAGCGATGGAAGGTCCAGGTTCAGTTCGGAGCCATTAAAACACTTTAACTCTGATTCAGACTTTTTTATTCTAAATATAAGAAGCTGAAGCTTCGTCTCAGCAGAGACCTCACTACGTTCCCTCAGAACCAGTTTAATGATTGTTAGTGAAAACAACAGGGCCTTCAATCTGCAAACATCAGATTTAGATCCGCTGAAGGAAAGCGGTGCCGCTGCAACCAGAGTGATTCTAGAGCGCTGAGAGGTATTTCTATGAATCAAACTAAAATCCCCTAAAAGCTAATAAAGAATAACGTTAATAAAGATCAACGTTTTTCTGACACGAACAGCTGCTGTTTCTGGATCGATGATAATGAACAGATCAGAACATTAATGTTCCTGTAGGTTTCATTTGCTTGGTATACGTGCAGCAGGGGGTTGCCATGACAACCTAATTTTGTGGAAGTGAACATGATGCAAATAAGAATCAGGATGTGAGAGCAACGCTGATGGTTAGTTAAAAAAAAACCTGATGAGTTCAGTTTATTAAAACAGCTTCCTGTAGATCTATGGAAGCCTGAAAGGGTCAAAATTCATCCAACTGCTGATCTATCATTGTTTTTACGGCCTTAGCTCCTCAGACAGAGACGGCTGTTCTCTGAGGAGAGATGTTCCCTCCGGTACGAGGTCTGCCTATCAGAGAGTATCAGAGAAAGAGTACTGACTCGCCAAGTATGATCTTGACCAGAACAAAGAAAGTCTGGACAGTGGGAGAACGGGAGCAGGCAGCATAAATCTGGGTCAACTGACACGGATGCGTACTGATGACATCACCCCACGCTCAGCTGGTCTGGAGCTGCATCTCACCTGTCACTACCAGATCCGTCCCGGAAGCACGATCGGTTCTGCACATGCGCTATCAGCTCATTAGCGCATCCATATGGTTTTTAGAATACCTGCATGACATTTCCCCTCCCCAAAGGTAGTGAGGATGCTAAACTATAATGTGTTAAAGGTTATCAATGTATTTCCTGAGAAGTTAAATGCCTTAAAATCCTGTTTTATCACTGGTCTCTGCCCAATCTGCACCTGAAATGGGATCCTAGGCTACTTCCAGGAGCTAACTTTTTCAGCTCCGGATTTAGACATAAATGTTTTTCCGTTTTATGTTTTCGTTTCATTTTAATAATATGTCATATAGTGCGTAATCTAAAGAAAGAACCAACTAAAATGCAGATGAACATGGTTAAATCAGATTTTGACAGACTGCTCTGAGCAGATGATGTCAGAGAAGCTGTTTAACGTAGAACACGTAAAAAGCATAAAAATTGTCTCACATATGTCATAAAACATTTTTTAAGATGTGTCTGCATTATTTGGTGAGTTAATTATAGGAATAAGTAGTTTTAGTACCATAATTACATTATTTATGGACACCCGGATATATATCTGTTCACGCATGCGCAGGACAGATCATGCTTCTGGGTCGGATCGGGTAGTGACATCACATCCTGTTATTAATAGTCTCTAGATAATAAAAAATTATTTTTCATTTAGTGAGGGAATAATAATGAGCACAGTCAGATAAACACAAATCAAATCAACATTTTGCCAAATAAAAAAAAAACCTCCATCAGCACCAGGAATGCTGCGGACGGGCTAACATTATCCTGTCCGCAGTGGCCAGGGCTAACGTTAGCCTGCAGCAGCCCTCTGTGAGAAGACCCGCTGGCTCTGATAGAGGATTTTTTGTTTTATTTGGCCAATGTTCATTTGCAGCGGCCAAGGCTAACGTTAGCCTCGCGGTTAGCCTCAGAGGTCAGCTGGTTGCCACTGACCTCTCAACGAAGGATTTTTTTTTATTTATTTCGCACTAAAACAGTAAATGGGCCATATACAGGTGCTGGTCATAAAATTAGAATATCATGAAAAAGTAGATTGATTTCAGTAATTCCATTTAAAAAGTGAAACTTGTATATTAGATTCATACATTACATACAAACTCATATATTTCAGATGTTTATTTTGTTTAATTTTGATGATTACAAATGACAACAAATGA